CAGTGCTTCCTGGTTTTTCATGTTGATCTAGCTTCAATTGACTCATGAACTCAACTATTTAATGTGTAAGTGATCACAATAGGTTTGTGTGACCAAAGTTTATGGTATTTAAGAATTTCTATTGCATATTATGTGAATAAAGGGTGTAATAAAAAATGACAAGAGTTTAATAAATTATTATTTATATATAACACCACTATACTCAGTAATCGTTAGCATTTGAGGTGGAAAATTTCAAGATGATTACGCTTGTAGAGTTAACAAAGGTGATACGTACTCATGATTGAACTACATAAAAATTAGGCTCTATAGCGAATTGGATAAAAATGGCATGAACGTTTGGTCTTACCGCATCACTATGCAGTGAACAACACCTGTAAATAAATAATTCCAAGGAATCGATTGAACAAATATCAATCATTATCATCGTTAGGCATGTTGGTAGTAACTTTTCTTAAGACAGAGATATAAAGATAATTAATTTGACATTGATGCCAACTTTGTTTAGTGTTTGGTGATCAGTAAATTGACCTAGAAATAATCAGTTTCCACAAGTTTATGGATAACCTCCACGCTGATGATATCTTAATATTAATTTATCATAAAAAACTAATGGCAACGCTTAGCTCGCACATATAATTAATAGCAAGCAAACGTTTTAAACGCTGTAGCATGTTATATAAACATTTGGATTATTTATGCTTATCACTTATTCATGTCAGTTTATAGCATTTAGAGATTAATAAGTACACTATATTCATTTGTTTCAAAGCTTTTTAGGCCTCTGTAGTGAAGACGAGTAGTGTTATACTTATTACTTAAATTATTTTATGTATTTAATATTGTAACCATCATTGTGGTTGAAAAACATGCTACTAAGTATCTATTTCAATCACTGAAGACAGATTCTACTAGAATTATTTTGATTAGATCATCAAAACAACACGGGTGAATTCGTAAGGTGATATTAGAAGTTAAAAATAAACTGAAATTTCAAATGTATTACATTCTTACAGTTGAATTTAAGGAATCATTTAAACAGTTAATAAAACCATTATGATTAGTGGCGGCCTGCTTGAATATCTGGGCTAACTGTTTTTCCGATCTAGATATTTCTTCAAGTTATCTGTTTTGTTGTTTGTTTTAGCACATCATTATGGCTATTGTGCTTACAATGTATTCAGGCGCGTTTATGAAAAGTTTACAACCTTTGGCTATACGGGATACAAAAAGATACAATCAGCGACATCATGGTGGCTGGCAATATGCATTGAAACGAATGAACATTAACCAAATGTGGATTACCGAACTCCTAACATCTAACTGGTCATCATTCAAAATTTATCGTCACAATCGATCAAGATATAAGAAAAGGAAACTTGTTGAAATACTTTATGCTGAGAATTCTATGTTGTACCAAAAATATAATGTTGAATAAAGCTTCTAATAATAATAATAATAATTTTTTTTATTCTCTGAAGAAGTGATTTACACTAAGTCACGAAACGTCAGAAAATCCAATTTTCTACTCATTGGGATATTACAAATATATTATTTTTATTTATAATAATAATAATTATTATTATTCCAATTTAACTTTGATATTAGGTCTAGAAATATACTTTGTTTGAATTCTGAATCTTTGGTAATTAATCAAGGGGGAACTGTCTTAATTATTTTATGAAGGAAAACAATATTAAAACTGATCTAGTGAAACCACTATATATCTTAGAAATTATCGACATTTTCATTTAGTAAAATATTGCGATTAACTAATTATGTTGCTGATAATTGTATAGAGTCTCAAATTCAATTAAAGAACTCTTCGTATTGTTCTAATCAGTTCGAAGCATTTGTTTTACTTATCAATTTGTATATAAATATGTATGACATTATACGTTTAGAAAGAAAATATCATACTTAGAGGTATCATTATCAAATTTCACCATAGGACTTATCTAAAAAGATTAGGCGAAATTGAAATCCAAATGAAATCTAACTCAAGACCTAAGAAATGAAAATATTGATGATCACGAATCTTACTTGAAGTCAAGCACATGCTCAAACAGAGCTGATAGAGAATACGCTGCTTCACTAATTTTGGTGTTGAATAGCTGAACTTATGTTTAGTTGAATGGTACACACCGTGAATTGGGTATATTGAGTCTATAAGTAAGTTTATTTGTTTATTACCTAAACCAGCAGTTTATTAAAAAGGAAACTGATTATTTGATTATTCACTAAATAGATCACTGTCTAGAATATATTACGACATTCAGCCTGAAATTGTGAAACATTTTGGAAAACCAGTACAGGAACTGTATTTACTTGTCATTGAATATTCATACACATGTAAATGCATATATTCACTGACAACGAAATATAATTATAAGTTTTTCAAAGCAAGCACTTGTTTGTTAGAGCATCATGTTTCATGATCAATTTATTCAACTAAATATTCTTTTATCTTATATTCAAGCTACGATTCTCCACAACGGTTACAATTAATTATATATATGGTAACTGTGCTATATTTTACAACCTCTTATTATCTGTTCCGGATCCTATTTAGAAATAGTTTTAATATATTTGAACCTTGAGCACCATAAAATGACCAAATCGGAATGTCAAGTATTTTATTATTTTTATGCTCTTTAGACTGATCTGAAAAAAACAGCATTATAAAATATTCGTGTATCCTTGTCTATAATAAAATACTATGATACGTGTACACAGTGTAGCGGTTGTATTGTTGTACATCTAATTTCTTCAGCAATTAGATGAACAATGTTTAACCGTTTATACGCTATGTAATGTTTATTACAGATAAACACTACCAAATTACGTAAACGTTTGAAACTTGTTCAAACATTTCTCAATCAACTAACATAAGATTACATCGGGATATCATTGGACTATGGTTAAAAGTTCCTAATAAATTCATTACGTAAAACCAAGTGATTCAGTAGACAATTTATAAAGATATCGATCATTTATCGTTGTCATTGATCAACATAACTAAAGCTCCTCAAAGCACTACTCAGGAATTAATTTGAAAGCATAAGTAAACATATGTTGGCTGAGATATAACTATGAAACTGAATGTGTAAAATGAAAATTAAGCTGATAGTTATTCAAAGAAAACTAGGTATCTCCTGTCAATGTATCTTAGTTAAGTTATGTATAATAACATATTTAGTCAAAAACTTGATATAAATGTTTATATATAGTGGCAATCTTGCCTCATTTTATTATGTTGGCGATTGTGCATGATAATGTTTTGACTAAAATTTAAAATATCAGTTGAATTAGTCAGTTATTTTCAAACGTATATATTACACTCGAAGCAGAAGCACCTTTAATTTTTAATATCCACCTAAACGTTTTAAATTCAATTTTATCAATATAGGCTTATGTCAGTTGTTTAGTTTTTATTGAACTCATGAATTAATCAATATTAGACATGACCATTGAAAATCTGGAAGCACTGAACAGTCGTTTCGTCCTAATATGGAACTCCTCAGCAGTATACATACACAATCCTGCGTGCGGGGCTCGAACCCAAGACCTCCAGTCTCGGTCGCAAACGTTTAATCTGTAGATCACTGAGTTTATTTCATTTAATAATCAATTCGCATTGCCAGAAATAGTGTGAAAATTGTATAAAAACTTATTTTACTCCATGTTTTACATATTATGATGAAATCATTTTTTATCAAATTTGTTATTTCAAATACTGTAAACATTAGATGTAGATTGTATGTTTTCATAAATATAATAATCTAACGATGGTGTATCGAAAAATCAGTTTTACAATGTCAATTAATTCATTATTAAACTAGACGAAATAAACAACCGTTAAATTGTGACATTGTAATAATCAAGTTTAATGAAGTGAACTAATATCTCAATATATTATCGTTTCCAGATCTCTTGTATTCGATCATAACATCGCATCAGTCTTTTCTGTTTGTAATTTTTTATTTAAATACAGAACATTTTTTATAACGGATTGAGCTTAATTCAATTGCAACTCAGTTTTCATTATTGTCCCATCACTCCGTTATGTAGTCAATTACTTTCGAATCAATGATATTTTGGCACATCAGAAATTGATATTTTGAAACCAACTTTTAGATTTTATAAATATTTACATTTTATTAAACCTTCTTCTAATTTGTCTGAACATTCGCTACATCATGGCGATATGTCTTCAACCTGAATCATAAACCGATTTCACTTCCATAAATATTTTCAACTTTATTCAAAACCTTGAGTTTGAAACACAATAGGTTGGAAGATATTAATGATAAACCAATAAAATGAAATAAATTCACAATATTCTGTTAAAAACATTATACTTGTTCAAAATAAACACATAAAGAGGAGATAGATGGTGTCTGAAAGTGGAATCCAGGCCGCTCATGTCGTCCCATATGATGCTTATCAACTTAATGTACCTGTAGTTTTCTTCAGACGCTATCGCATTATCCACTTAGCTACTGAGTTCAGATAGCCATTGTCTTTTGCAAACAATCAATATAAATAAATTAAACGAGACCTTACGTATGAAACATGAATTTATAAGAATATTATTCTAAGAAATAGACTACAGACTAGGTTTGTTGGAAATATAAGTACATCAAGAATAAATCTACTCAAGTTTCATATCTTATATAAATAAATTTTAGTTGTTTAAATTATATCATATTGTTCTGATAAACATTATTATTCTTATCACAATACCCTAATTTATCAGGAGGTACTAATTATTCCTTAAGAAAAAATCAATGTTTAAAGGATTTCTAAAGGATTTGCTATATACCTCGTAGATTTAAGCTTCTGTATATCTTCCAAAAAAGTTTACATCTAGTTCAAAAAGTAGTTTTATATTATCATAATTAACTTTCAACTTTTCAATTAAACTAACACACACATACACATACAAACAAAAACGTATATAATTAAATATATATGTATATTACAAATTATCTACTTACCATATTGTCTTTCACTGAATCTTTTATTAATTTCTCTGAACATCTTTGTAAACAATGTGATTTACATACAGCACTAGCAATTATTCTTAATTCAGTTGAATAAATTAAATTATTTGATGTTACAATTGGTATAGATGGATCAATATGACGTTTATTTCTAGAATTAGAATGTTTTATTTTATTAGTAATTTTCAATAATGAAATGTTTACATAATTATTTATATCCAATAAATTTTGATTAGATTCATTTGAATTAATTATAAACATACAGAATAATAGTAAAGTAAGAATTTTATTTAAATATTTGGTTAAATAAATTAAAATGAACATAATATCATGATATAGGATAACAAGAATTAAATAGTAAACATTCTTTAAAAGTATTGAATATGTAATAAATAAACAATTATGAAACTATTATTTATATATATATATATATATATAAATATGAAATAATAAATAAATCTATGAAATTTATTTAAAATTATTTCTAGTTATTTGATTGGTTGATTGTGGTTAAAAAATATTAACCAATCAGAACGACAGAATTTTTTTTTAAAAATAGAAAAAAAACTTTTTCATTAATCTTTACAAGAAAAGTTCTTGATCATGAATAAATATATTTTGAAGATAGGTAAACCAATCGAACATGTGAAATAATTTGTTCATTAGATAATGAATAGTAATTGTGTATATATTGTTAATATTAAAACTTATCATTTAGATATTTGGATATACTCCATGATAGATTGAAGAATAAATTCATAGATAACAATGTGAAAATTGTATTCATTAGTAATATATTTAAGTAAGAAATAAGTTTAAATGAAACTTTTAAACAAGAATATAAACATTTACTACAATGGATTATTAGATCAATGAAAAGTATTCATAAAATGTTGTCAATATTTTTAAATGAAGCTCAGTAGATATAAAATGTACTTTTGTAACACATAATTCTATCTGAAGTTTGTTCTGATGATGTCATTCAGAAGAAAGATGAAAGCTTCACGATTAAACCATTCAGCTTAGAGAGGAAAACTCAAAATCACCTCCCTAAGCTAAAAAATCTTCACTATTATCTACAATTTTCAAAAGATTATCTTTTGACGAAATATATTGTTTCCAGATTTGCAATAAAACGCTCGAGATTTTATGCCTAAAATAAAACGACATTTAAAAATCTGTCGGAAATGTAAAATATTATCCGCATTATTAAAAATTTTTAATTGTTCACCGAATATATTTCATTTGATATCGCGAATGGATGAATATTAGACCACTATTGAAAACCTGGAAGCACTGGACGCCCTTTTCGTCTTAGCATGGGACTCCGCAGCAGAGGGCATCCACGATCCAGCACGAGGGACTCGAACGCAGAGCCTTCGGTCTTGCGGGAGATTATTAGACATTAATACCGTTGAATGCCAGCTCAGCGGTTTAGAGGTTACATGGTCACATGAGAGACGGAAGGCCTTGGGTTCGAATCTTGCATCCGGAGTCGCGGATGTGCACTGCTGAGGAGTCCTGTACTAGGATAAAGAGACCATGTAGTGCTTCCAGGTCTTTGATGGTGAACTAGTATTCATCTATTCATGATATCAATTGAAACTTAACAATCTCCACAACCCTATACTGAGAAATAAATATATTTCACAGTGTTTATTCAAAATCTACTTTCCTTGTAAACTATATAGATTTAAGGAATCTATCCATATTCCTGCTGATCGTTTAATAAATTTCTTAGTTACTAATATATCATCCTTAATGTCTGTCAGTTAAGTAATTTTTAATAGAGTAGTGAGTTATTTTGTTAGTGCTCTCAAAATAATCACTTAACACTTTTTTTTAAAAGAAAGATTAGATTTTACATGATATTTACTTGTAACGACAAAAAATTTGATAGATAATGCTAAAAAGATATTTTTGGTTATCTGACCTCATAAGATCTATTCATCAGAAGAAAGTTTCAGTTATTTCTACAAATCCTCGAGACTTAAACAGAATGGGTTATACTACTTCAGCTGTCAGACAGAAAAATGAATAAAGGATTAAAGAACAGTTGATTATATCTCTGAATAGTTATTTACTAAAATTATGAAGTCTATAAACGTTTTAATGTAAACTGTAAATCATATTTCTACTACCAGCCGTCAATTCATGAGCTTTCAGTGTGAACATAGAATGAAACGATTAGGTCAATCAAGTCTTGAGAGTTCAGTTTCAGCATTTCGCTTGAATATTTGATATATTATCAAGACGAACTATGAGTTAAGCATATAGCTTTCTCAATTGATATTTTTAACTTATTTTCTTATTTTCTTTAGAATTAGACAGAAGTAATAAACTCGTTTACTGATTTCAATATAGTGGATACTTTAATTGCTATGCATGGATTATTTAACACTGACGTTACTTTCTGTTTGTTTTCATACTTCGTTCTTATGTCATAAACATGCAGTGAAACACCTTGAATATGTTTCATATTTAAGTAAGATTTCAGTTGAATTACGCCCTAATATTTCCAACTTCTGTCTGATTGAACTAAAAATTAATAAGTATCAAGTCTTTAAGTATGTAATTTATTATCACACGCCTTAAGTACATGATTGATAGCTGATGTTCCATTAATTTGAGTTCATCAATACTTAAATATGATAAAAACGTCTATCAAATCTTGTATATGTGTTAATAGTTTTGTGTAAAATGAAGTAATTCCCATTTGTTCTGTTCCCTGAAGATCATTCAATAATGAGTCACATGTATTTGTCAATTATTAGTCTACTTAAATGTTTAACATTCGATAACTACTGTTTCCATTCGTATATCACAGATTTCTAATTATATCAACTATGGATTTAATCTCAGTTAATTAAGTTTTATAACAAGATGTGAATTCATTAAATCCAACCACTTTCTCTATTTTGTTGTAGTCATAGCTGAAAGTAATTTACTTTCAAATATTCAGTGGTATATTAAGCTTCACTAAAAATGTTTTTGCATAGTATTTCCACAAACATAATTTCATCATATAGACACACTTGTATATGTTTAACATTTGACATTCATAAGTACATTATATTAGATAAAAATTTAAACACTATTGTAACAAATAAAAACATAGTAGAATATGTGAAAAGCGTTTTATTTCAATGTAATTTCAGCATAAAAGGTTACCATATACGATATCTTTCATAAACACTTTTATTTATGTTTTAGACAACTTATTTGAAGAGCATTTTAAGTGAATCATCATCGATTCGAATAAAAAGATATTACTAAACTGACTGACGAACCATAAGATCTGAAGCATGAACTAGATATTACTTATTTTTTTCTCCCAAATTGTACGAGCATTCCATGTACCCAAATTAATGGTTACTATGGTTGTCAGAAAGGGGTATCAGCCTCGTGACCTCCTAAGAATTTCGGCTTTCATCATGAGGCGTCATAAATTTTCTAAATGAAGACCTTCTAACTCGCAGGGCAGAGTTCAATTAGTTTGAATATTTTTTTTTCTGGTTAGCATTCTTTTAGCGAATTAATAGGGTTACTAACCCTATGCCCAACCCTCTTCTTTTATCTGTGCTTGAGATCGGCAGAAACCCCAGAGGGGCTCCAGGTGGAGTTGTGAACTATATATACCCATTCTTAATAACTGGTCGAGTAATAATGGTAATCCACTTAATTTATTATATTACAAGTATAGACATTTTTTGAAAAGCAGTATCCTAATCCTTGTTCATAAAATACAGCCAAAGATCATAGCAAAACTATTAATACTATTCGAATAACTTTAAAAATCTGTATCGTAAGCAAGTAATTATGTACCTTCTTGGCATAATCTTAAATTGTAAATACCCTTATAAGAATAAGAAGTGTATCATCATAAAACAACGAAGAAAATCTAATAAACTCCCTGGATGATTAAACATGATAATCCATTCTCAGAATATTATTTGTTTAAAGTACTACTGTTTATATAATAAGTCACATTTATAGTCAAATAATAATAGTAGTATGTTAAATCTATGATTCTCTCTTCAATGTCAACAATGATTCATCTAATACAAATCTGTTTATATCACCTTATATCTTATCACAATCAAATAAAAACAAAAAGGTAGCAAGATGTATAACTTCTGTTTATTTGTCCTTTTATTAGTTATCAATTTGATTATCTTTTCTCCTAAATTACAATAGATACACATGATTCATCAACAATGAATTCTGATTAGAATCTTTACATTTCATATGATTTTCGGAATCGTTTTTTGTTTTGTTTTATTTTTCTTGTTAGAAATTAATTACGAGTATATGCATGTGTACGATACTGTTATATAATAGGTGTTATGTAATCACAGAGTATCAAAAAAAAACTGTAACCAAATATATGATGAGAAATCTTTTCGTAATGTGATGCACGTAACGATTTGACAAAAAATATGTGATATCTATAGTATACTATCTACTTATTCCTAATGATACTAAATATGGATACGGAGACAACGATATATCTGTATGCTTGTGTAATCAGAGAAATAGATTGGTTATTTGGTTTATTAGAATGAGCCTAAATAACACGGAAATAATTTAGGATAGACCAGAAAAAATAATGAAATGTGAAATATCTTCAAAGAGACCGATCATGTAAATTTTATTGCTTTTAAATTTATAGCATATTTTGTATATATACAGTAAATTTTCATTTCAGTTTACTGTTATTTTTTAGAAAAAAACATGTGGCAGTTTTGAAAATGTTCGATCATGTTGCAAATTAAGTTATCATTATACTCATTTTATAGGGTAAGCGAAAATCATGAAATATAAATAGAACTAAATACTCAGTGGGCTAGAGGTTAGAAGTTTTTGCGCGAGACCAAAGGTCGTGAGTTCGAATTCCATGAGCGAGATCTTGGATGCACACTTCTGAGGAGTCTCATACTAGAATGAAATAACCGTCCAATGATTTCATGTTTTCAATGATGGTCTAACATCGATAAGTTCATGATCTCAATCAAAACACAACTAGATGCATTTATGTAGCATTCGTAAAATATTCGTGAAAATGTACCCATACTTTTCAAAAATACAATTAACTAAAATCTTTAATTCTCGAAATCGATATCATTTACATAAAACAATAAACGCTGGCTTCATAGATTATAGGCACATTCATTTTGCCTTTTATTCACAACAGACTACTCTTAATAAGTCATTCCTTTATAGTGACAGTTGAATATTTGTATATTTTTGCATAATTTGATCAAAGTATATATGTTTATATTTCTATTTGTTTTATACATAAACATAAATGATTTTGATCTTTCCTTCTTGTTACGTTTCAGTC